GGACCGGGCCGCTCGGGACCAGCGGCGTGCGGCGTGCGACCCTCCCTGCCCGCCCCTCCAGTGCCCTTGGAGCCTCGCGACGTCAGGGTCCCGGGGGAGGGGGCGGCCTCTGCCTCACTCTGTGTTTAGACTCCCGGGGGAACCTCAGTCGTCAGCCCCAAACCCCAGAAGAGCCCTGGGGAGTCGGGAAGAAGCAGCTGCTCAGGGGCCCTTGGGGAACTCGTGCGGGGATGACGTCTCCTGGCAAAGGTGTTCTGGGTCCTCGCGGTTCCGCTTAGAGTGTGGCGAGGTCCCTGCTCCCCCAATTCATCCTCCATTATCTGAGAGGGAAAGGGGACCGGGAGGCCTGTGTCCTCCTCAGGCTCATCCTGCTCTGGCCCAGTGGCATGTCTCCCACCGGCCACCCTCCTCACCCCTACCCGAGAGGGAGGGCCAGAGGCTCTGTACGGAGTCCCACTCTATTGAGTACAGAAATCTGACGACCTGGAAAAAGGTATTTGGGCAAAATAGCCCAAGTGAGGGCTCCTGGAGTCCCGAGTAATATTCAGGCTCTGCCAGTGACCTTGGGCGGGGCCCTGCCCTTCGCTGGATTGCAGCCTTTTCTGTGCAGAAGGAATGTGTTGGACCAGGTCATCTTGGAGGTCCAGGATGGGGTGGGATGGGAGTCCAGGAGGAGCCAGCAGCCACTCCTCTTCCCTTAGTGGACCTTCATCTAGGCTGGATTGTGTTGAGGTCCTGGCTTTTCCACAGATCCAGGCGGCTGTAGCAGCTGCAGTGACAGTGAATTAACTGACCCGCCAGCTGAGGAAGCTGGTAGGATTTTGGTGGCCCCAGATGGGGCATACGTTCTTGCTTGGGATACAACCTTGTCCTGGTTAGGGTTCCGTATATAAACCACAGAGGAGGCAGCAAGCTTGAGTTATTCACCGTGGGGAAATCCCTGCCTCTCAAATTCCTCCTTTGTAGGAGGTGATGACAGAGTGAACCTCTAGTTCTACAACTTCCACCAGGCTGTGTTTCTATATATAGAATTGAGAGGCAGTCCTTAAGAGCACAGTCTGGTTCTGCAGTCTCGTGGCTGTGTGATGTCTGGCAAGTTACTTACCCTCTCTGAGCCTTCATGTCATACTCTGAAATTGGGATGATGCTGACCTCAGAGGGTTCTTATAAAAATTAAGTGATGGAATGTGACAGAAATGCCTAGTATAGTGCCAGACATTTGGTTTAAGTGTTCAATAAATGGTCGCTATTATTATTGATGATGAAATTGTTATTACTGCATAAAGCTTCTTTCAGGCTTTCCTGAGTTCTATCCTTTTCAATAATTTCAGACCTAGTCATTGGACATTAATTGGTGATATATTGGTAAGATAATTCATGAAGCTTCTCCTGTTATGAGGAATACAGGTCCCTACAGGGTGTAAAATGCTCCCTAACAAGACCTTTGATACTATGACATGTCTGTGTGAAACACGTCATCTGCAATGGCCTTGAACTAATGTAGACCATCCACTTGGCTCAGATAGTTTGTGATCCCCAAGTGAATGTTCAGGCGAGGTAGGTTGCAGATTTGAATACCTGAAAGTGGAAACTTAATAGATGATGAGGAAATGTAATTGTAAGAGCCCCCAGGGATATTGTATCAAGCAAAGGAGCTTAGGAAATAGGCATGACGAGGGGGCTCTGGCCACTTCTGGAGGAGTCAGTCGTGTCAGGCAAAATTTAGGAGTCCTTGCAGAGTCAGAAGAAGGGCGAGCTCTCAGGCACCTGTGCTGCTGACCTCTCTTCATCTTTAACAGCCCGTGAAGGTAGCAAGATGTTTGGGGCCAGCTGGATGGTGGGGTTTTTAACAGAGGAAAGCTGTTGCCTGGGAGAAGGGGCCTCTAAGAAGTGTCCTCCCAGCTTCTCTCCTAATTACAGATGCTCCTTGACTTACAGTGGGGTCATGTCCCAATAAATCCATCATAAGTTGAAATATCATAAGTTAAAAATACATTTAATACACCTAACTTACTGAACATCATAGTTTAGCCTAGCCTATCTTAAACGTGCTCAGAACATTTACACTAGCCTATAGTTGGGCAAAATTATTTCACACACAAAGCCTACTTTATAATAAAGTGTTGAGTATCATGTAATTTACTGAATACTGTACTGAAAGTGAAAAACAGACTGTATGGGTGCTCGAAGTGCAGTCTCTACTGAATACAGATAGCTTTCACACCATCAACAAAAAAAAAAAAAAGAAAAAAGAAAAACATGCTGTTTCTTTGAGTAGAGAAGATGAAAGCTCTGTTTTTGTCTGAGTTCTTTGAATAAAAGCAGGAATCTAGAGTTTTCTTTTTTTTTCCTTAATTTATTTTTTATTAGAACACAGTTGATTGTACAAATCTGTGGGGTACAGCATTGAATGTCAGTACCTGTGTGCAATATATGATGTTCAAATCATGATAATTAGTATATTCAACATTATACAATGTAATCAATTTTTGTAGTCCTTTACCAGTTCCTCCCTTACCTGCTTCCCCCTCCCCTGGTAACCAGTAACCTCAGTTTACAGCAACATGGATGAACTTAGAAAAAATTATAAGTGAGAAATAAGCCAGGCACAAAAAGAGAGATATGTCATGTCCTCACTTAACAAGTAGGAGCTTAAAAAAAAAAAAGTGAATAAAGAAACATGCTTTCTTGTTTTGAATGAGCTACTTTAAAAATGTTGGCTGTAACCAAATCATGTTCAAAAGCAAGGTTTTAAAAAAAATTTTTTTTATATTGAGATAGTTGACATATGGTGAACAACACGTATTTAAAGCATACCATTTGATAAATTTTGATGAATGTTTACCTTCACAATTAAGATAATGAGCATATTTGTCACCCCAAAAATTATAGATAAGTTTTTTAAATTTTTATTTTTTAAGTCAATATATAATAAAATTGACCTTTTTGGTATATAGATTTATTAATTCAAATACATGTATAGAATTCATGTAAGTCATCACCAAAACCAGGATACACATAATTCCCATCACCCTAAAAATCTCCCTGATGCTATTCTCTGTCCTCACATATTCCTGTCTCCCCACCATAAACTCCTGGCAACCACTGATTGTTCTCTATAGGAAGAGCGTGTCCGATGCTGGTGGCCAAAGAGTGACCTACCTCAGATAACAATGGACTTGTGAAACTGCTATGAGATGATGCCCATGGACATTTAACTTGCAGCCTGGCTTGGAGGGAATACACGTTCCCTGGCCACTGAGATTCATACCACACTGTAAATCTACACTGTCAACAAGAGGTGCTCCTCCATACTTAATCTTTGATTTTTTTTATAAGGTGAAAGACAAAAGGACATTGAAAATAGTGTGGCTTGCTGCCCTTCCAGATGCAGAGGCCTAGGAAGAGCGTGTCCGATGCTGGTGGCCAAAGAGTGACCTACCTCAGATAACAATGGACTTGTGAAACTGCTATAAGATGATGCCCATGGACATTTAACTTGCAGCCTGGGTGGAGGGAATACACGTTCCCTGGCCACTGAGATTCATACCACACTGTAAATCTACACTGTCAACAAGAGGTGCTCCTCCATACTTAATCTTTGATTTTTTTTATAAGGTGAAAGACAAAAGGACATTGAAAATAGTGTGGCTTGCTGCCCTTCCAGATGCAGAGGCAGCTCCAGTCTTGCTGC